TGTACTGTAATTGTCAAATACATTGCAATCCTAATTAATTGCATTTAAATACATATTTTTGAGTAATTGCAATCACAGTTGTATCTATAAACAAAAATCAGATGTATTTGCAATTGTATTTAATCACCCTTAAAGTTACCATAGATTTTATAATTATGTACATGTACATGTACATATGTACATGCATGTATGTGTGGTGCAGAAGAAACTTTAGGCAGTCTGTTTGATAAGCATTTTGAAGAACTAATGTAACATATTGTGCTAGTATAAAATATTTTAATTATAACTCTCGATTGTAATTGCAATGTAATTAAATACATTACTAAAAGTGGTATTTGCAATTGTATTTGCATTTGATATTATTACTCATAATTGCACTTGCAATGAAATACAATAAATGTATTTGACCTTGTTGTTGACCTTTTAGTTTTGACCTTGTTGTTTTTACCTTGTTGAGTTATGAGAGACCAACTATAACAAACTATAAGAAGCTCCCCATTTTTTTCTCATTCTTTTCATAGTTCTGACTATTATATTTTGGAAGGACATCAAACTGAGTTTTCTGTTTCTTGTTGTCTGCCTGGTCACGTTGCTCACCCTCTATATTGATACACTGTCTGCTACACACTGTTGTTCTTGTGTTGCTGGCAGCCATGATTGTCTCTTATATTCATTGTGACAAAGATTGCCATTGATTCTTTCTATAATAGACGAATAAAGAACCCTTTTAAGTAAGGAAGACTAGAAAAAGAGAGAGTTTTTATTTTTTAGTTTTTATTTTTAGTTCCTATGTATTAGAATTAACATGCACCCTTTAGTACTATATCCAGTCTCCCAGTACATGCACATAAGCACTCTCTGTCTCTCAATATGGCCAATTCTCTCATTATGTACTAATTACTCTATCATGACAGGATATACAATGAAAAAGATCTTAGCAGCAGAGGAGGCTGTTCAAATTGAGAACCCTGGTCACGAACATGTATATGCAAACAGGTATATTTTAATTGTATTTATGCAAATTCACATGTACTTGTACATCTAGTGTCAACTATTACTCCTGTGATGAACAAAATGATAATGAACAAAATGGTAATGAACAATATGGTTTAGAAGGCCAGGACCTTGAAAGTACATGTACATGTACTTGGACACCTACAGGTAAGATTTCAATAAAAACATTAAGTAAAAGAACAAAGCCCAAAATCACAATGCATACAGTATTAGCCTTCTGTATAATAACGGCAAACTTTGACAATGAATTTAAAAGTATGTATCATAGTTAATGTACACTAAAGGATTTACATGTATGTACATGTACGTGTACACAGCATGTGCAATGAATCCAGTCTACATAGTACATATTTTACTTTTTGTTCTTAGTATTGTTTTATTATAGATACTGAAGACCTTACTCTTTCAATTGAGGGAAACCAGAACTTAGAGAAGCCCTTCTCTGAGTACATTAATACAAGCATCTTGAGTACTGAAGATT